TTCAAGCAATTCTCTGCCTCAGCCTCCTGAGTAGCTGGGATTATTGGTGCCCACCACCATTCCCAGCTAATTTTTTTTTTTTTTGTATTTTTTCGTAGAGATGGGGTTTCACCATTTTGGCCAAGCTGGTCTTGAACTCCTGACCTTGTGATCCACCTGCCTCGGCCTCCCAAAGTGCTGGGATTACAGGCATGAGCCACTGCGCTCGCCCTTGTGTTGATAAATTCTTAAGTAAACAAGATATCATGTATAATCTCGACAGGAAAATTTCAATTTATATGTCCCTTATATCAAAATTTAAATAATAAGAATTAATTGGATCTTTATCTCAACTCAAAAAGGAAAAAAAAAAAAAGAATTAAATAGGTCATATGTACACTGTTAGTAGAATTGGGAATTCTTAGAGCCTTCCTGAAAAGTAGTTTCACGATGTATGTCAGAAGTCTTAAAAATGGTTATCTCCTTTTATATTGTATTAATATCATGTCTAGTAATCTATCCAAAAGAAATAACTACTTGGCCGGCACGGTGGCTCTCACCTCTAATCTCAGCACTCTGGGAGTCCAAGGCAGGCGGATCACTGAGGCCATGATTTTGAGACCAGCCTGGTTAACATGATGAAACTTAATCTCTACTAAAAATTAAAAAATTAGCTGAGTGTTATGGCGCACGCCTGTAATTCCAGCTACTCAAGAGGCTGAGGCAGAGAATCACTTGAACCTGGGAGGTGGAGGCTGCAGTGAGGCCAGATGCGCTACTGCACTCCAGCCTAGGCCACAGAGTGAGACTCCATCTCAAAAAAAAAAAGAAAGAAAATAAAAGAAATAATAAGTCATACATTAAATATCTTGTGTGGCTGGGCCTGGTAGCTCACACCTGTAATCCTAGCATTTTGGGAGGCCGAGGCGGGTGGATCACATGAGCCTAGGAGTTTGAGACCAGCCTGGGCAACAAGATGAAACCCCATCTCTACTAAAATTACAAAAATTAGCTGGGTGTGGTGGCAGAAGCTTGTAATCCCAGCTACTCTGGAGGCTGAGGCAGGAGAATCGCTTGAACTGGGGAGGCAGATTGTGCCACTGCACTCCAGCCTGGACAACAGAGTGAGAATCTGTATCAAAAAAAAGTTTTAAATATCTTACATAAGAGCATTCAATGGAACAGTATTTATTAGAGTAGAAACTTTGCACAACCTACTGTATTCACAGTAGGAAAATTGTTAAATTATTTTATGTTCATATAATGGGATATTCAAAAACAAGAGCACAACAAATACTCACAATTTAACATGAAGTAGAAAAAAAGTAGAAACTAAGCCTTTAAGGTGTAGATAAACTATATCATAAATATACACACAGAAAATAAATGCTGCAAGGAAATACAACAAAATGATAAAAATTCTTTTATCTAGATGAGGTAAGTTTTCAGTTTTTAAAAGATGTGTGTTTCTGATTTGATTATGTACTATTTTACTCAAAATATTTTTTATTTGGAAATACAGATTATATCATGTGCAAAGACACACCATTAATTTTTTTTAATCTTTTAGTCTTCTGTGCAGAATTATCTTTCAGACTTAAACATATGTACGTATAAGTGTACATACTCATATTGTACATATTTATGATTCTACTGTATTGCATTTAGCTTAACATATTTGGGAGAATGTTATTTAACATAATTGGGAGAAGATTATTTTATATAAATGAGCTTTGCAGATATGAAAAGCTTTCGATTGAAATTTAACAGCGAAAATGACCCAAATTATTGAATGCAAATCTTTCTAAAACTAAGTATTCTTTTTCTGATTTCATAATTATATCACATATACCATTGTTAATAATTTTTCTCTGCTTTCACAGTTGATTGTAAAATCACTTATAAAGAAGGGTCTTTTTTCCTGTGAGGCTTTCTTGAACCTCACGGGCCTTTTTCTCAGATAAAAAGGGAGAGTCGAAGGGTAAATGGAAGGGGAAAAGGTGAAAACTTTTTATATTTCCCACTCTTGTTTCTCCTATTTATTAATTAAAAAAACTAACACCTTTTTTGTTTTTCAGAAAGTTATATAGGTTCTCTGTCCTAACTGCTATTCCTCAGCCTCAGCATTTGAGTTTTGGAACCTTGGTCTCTGCTTGCCTGTTAGTTTGGGTGAAATGGAGCACAGGAAGTTTACTCTCATTAGCAAGGCCGTTAGAGAGATAGTAATTTCTTTCTATGTTGGAAATTTCTGAATGCATATTCTTATAATAATAGTATTTTAAGTGAGATTTAGATACTGTAATTATTATGTATACAGTATATTAATTACTATATATAATAACAGTATATTATACAGTGTATTATGTAAACAGTATATTAATTTAGTGAGATTATGGGTGATTTGTAAACTGGTATTAGTATCTCATCACCATTTATAACATTTGAAAGGGATAAATATGTTCTGGGTTGCAAAGAAATTTAGTAATATTCTTTTTTAAAAATTAGTTACTGCTTGGCTTTTATTGTCCCATAATTTAGTGCTGTCTTTGGGGGATGATTTGGGTTTTGCCCTTTCAGGAAGATGATAGTTGTCCTTTCTCTTGTTGCTTGTGCATTTTCCTCTAGCAATCTTCCCTTCCCAGTCAGGTTCATGAGCACTGTTTTTAGTGGCCTAAGAAAGTCAAATGATCTACCTTGGTGTTAATAGAATTGTTTCTAAATTCAGCCAGTAGTCAACTTTGAATAGGATTTCTGAGATATTTTCTGGAAAGCAAAAGAGGTGTATCTTAGTAGGAAGATGATACCTTTAATTTTGTATCCTCAGAGTCTTTTTGAGTAGTCAATGTTTTTAGATTTCATTCTGGCTCTTTGGGGTTGTCAAATAAGTGACTTTGGGTAAATAAAATGTTAATATATTTATTATAAAAATATTAGCCATTTCTGTTATTCAAGTTAAGTGCTCATTTCATAAGACTGGTGTTCATTTAGATATGTAAACTTATCTTTAGCTGCAGAATAAGATATTTATCTTAGTGCTTTATCTGTCAGACTGCAACATATCACTACTGGTTAAATTTGAAATGCTTTTTAACCTTTTTAAATTTTTTAATCTTGTGGATTTATTATGCTAAAGCAAACTGTTGTTAAATTCTCATTTGGTTACAATTCCAACTGTTGTGTTAGGGACTATATATACCTATTAATGAAATGTTTGACATAAAATTTAATTTTTATTTCTCTTTTCTAGGTAAAGAGTAGAGTATATCAAGGTAACTCTTTAGGCTTGTTTTGTTATTTGTACTATTCCCGCTATATTGGTGTTTGATATGGGTTTTATATGTAAGTAGGTTTAGTGACTTCTGATGTCTGACTGACTTACAGCTTCTGAAAACTTTCCTATTCCTAGGTTGCTAGCTTGGATGATAGAATAAATGGTGATGCCACCAACTGAGATAGGAGATGAGGAGGAACAAATTGCAGGAGTAGGGAGAAGATTAGTTTCATTGGGGGCAGATTTACCTTAAACGTTGACGTACTAGTTTATTACATGTGACCAGTTTTTCTGTGCTAATGATTTAGTACATTAAATATTTATTTAAGTAGATAATTTCAGGACTAGAAATATGAATCAGCATGCTTGCATTTTCTGTTTCTCTTTGCAAATGACATATTTGAAGTGATGCCATTTTCTGAGAAGAAAAAATGCCTCATGCAGGGAGGAATATTGACTTATAACATTTTACTGTTTCCCATCTTGGAAATAAATTTAAATTAGACTCTCATTGAAATAAAGGTTCTTATTATACTTTTCTTAAATTGTAACAATATTTTTACATGCTTATTCCTATTAGCAGATTGCTTTTTGTATTAATCTGTTCTCACACTGCTATAAAGAAATACCCAAGGCCGGGTGTGATGGCTCGTGCCTGTAATCCCAACTCTTTGGGAGGCCGAGGCAGGAGGATTGCTTGAGCTCAGGAGTTTCAGACCAGCCTGGGCAACATGGAGAAACCCCATCTCTATTTAAAAAAATACAAAAATTAGCCGGGCGTGGTGGCACACACCTGTGGTCTCAGGTACTTGGGAGGCCGATACAGGAGAATTGCTTGAGGTCAGGAGGTGGAGTTTGCAGTGAGCTGAGATTGTGCCACTGAACTCCAGCCTGGGCAACAGACTGAGACCCTGTCTCAAAAAAAGAAATACCTGAGACTGGGTAATTTATGAGAAAGAGGTTTAATTAGCTCATAATTCTGTAGGCTGTACAGGAAGCATAGTGGCATCTGCTTCTGGGGAGGCCTCAGGGAGCTTTTACCCATAGCAGGAGGCAAAGCAAGAGCAGGCTGTCTTATGTGGCAGGAGCAGGAGCAAGAGAGAATGAGCAGGGAGGTGCTGCACACTTTTAAACAACCAGACCCCACAAGAACTCAGTCACTGTCACAAGAACAGCACCACAGGGATGGTGATAAACCACTCATGAGAAATCACCCCTATGATCCAATCACCTCCCACCAGGCCCCCCCTCCAACACTGGGGACTATAATTTGACTTGAGATTTGGTGGGGACACAATCCAAACCATATCACATTTCAAAACCATAATAGTTATGCTAAGAAGTTCTTTTTCCTCGTAGTGCCAGATAACATGTCTTTCTGCTGATACATTGGGTAATTCAGTTTCATTTAGTGATCATAATAACCTTATATATTTTCTTTTTTTAGTCACCGAACAGCAGATTTCTGAGAAGTTGAAGATTATTATGAAAGAAAATACAGAACTTGTACAGAAATTGTCAAATTATGAACAGAAGGTATAATTATTCTTTTGTTTTTTTTCCCCATGGTCCCAGGTTGAATTATTTTCACCTGTCTTATAGTTCATTTACTATGGTATTTTAAAATAATATTTATTATTCCATTAATTCCTATAAACCATCCAGAGCTTAAGCAATCATGTGTGTAAAGTACTGTTTTCTTCTATAAGAGGTCAGTCACTTCAAAGTAAGTTCCAATAGCACGATACTTTGTATTTCTGGATTCTGAATGCTTTATTTTTTGTAGATCAAGGAATCAAAGAAACATGTTCAAGAAACCAGGAAACAAAATATGATCCTCTCTGATGAAGCAATTAAATTTAAGGTAAAAACTTCTTTTGGGGATTACATTTTAAAACAAAAGTAAAAATTAATGAGTATAACTAATCTTAATATCTTTTTTGTAGGATAAAATCAAGACACTTGAAAAAAATAATGAAATTCTGGGTGACACAGCTAAAAATCTTCGTGTTATGTTAGAATCTGAGAGAGAACAGAATGTCAAGAATCAGGATTTGGTAAGAGTTTTGCTGCTAAGTGTTACTTATAATTTGGTTTTTGAACTCTGTAGATGGAGTTGAACTTTTTATTTTCCATAGTGTTCTGTGAAGTAAGAGTGGGAGTCAGGGAAGTTAAACCTACTTCTCTCCATTTTTGTGGGATTTTAAGTACTTACACAAGAAGTTACTCTTATGGGCCTAGGAAGTATTTTGGTTCTCAGCCTTAGGCAATTGTTGTATTGCTTGGCTCTGCCCTCCAAAACATGTGGAGCGACTAAGAAACCACAACGCAGTTGAACAGTCCTTGTGTTTTGTTTTGTTTTGTTTTGCAAAGGTTTTTATTTTTATTTTTATTTTTTTTTTTACTATAAGCATTTTACTTTATTAATACAATAGTTTCAGAATGACATAAAAATTGCAAAGATAGTAAAGAGGGTTCCCATAAATCCCACATCCTATTAATCTTGATTACCTCACTGAGCTTAGTATTGCCAGGTTTCTTCACTGTAAAATTACTTTTTTTTTTTTTTAACCTTTTTCATTATTGAACTCTTTGGAAGGAAGTTAGTTACACAGCCCAGAGTTAAAAAGTGAAGGATTATTCTCCATCCCCTTGAGGAGCCAGGATCTTCATAAATTATTTGGAATTCTTGTATATGCATGATCTGTCTATTCTCACTCCAATTCTACCATTTTTAATTTAGGCAAGAGAATTTTTAAAGTACCTTGGGGATTTTTTTTTCTCTCTTGCCCCAAGGAAAAAAAAAAAAAACACATTGATTTGAACTGGGTAACTTGAAAGTTTTTCAGTTTCTTTTCTTTCATCTTTTAGTCTCGCAATCTACCACATTCTATTCTAACAAGGAAGGTTGTGTATGCCATGAAATATTTATGCCTTTGATTATTTTCCTTTACCTCTTTAAGTTCTTGATTTTTCCCTAGGGCAAAACTGAAAAACCTGCTTTTACCTGAAACACAGGATGTCTCTGGGATATACTTCATTGATGTTTCCTCTTTTTAGTGTATATACCAGTGTTTCTACTGAAATCCTAATACGCATTTTGTGTTCTGTTTTTACATGGCAGATATCAGAAAACAAGAAATCTATAGAGAAGTTAAAAGATGTTATTTCCATGAATGCTTCAGAATTTTCAGAGGTAAAGCTGACTATAATTCCTGCAGGATATTAAAACTATATCATAGTTTTATTGAGGAGCAAAAATCTGACATGTGCTAAAATGTGCAAAAAATAAAAACTACGTGATGTTGGGTTGGGAAAGTAACTTTTTTTTTTGTTTTCTTTGGAATTAATTCACTAATAGGAGTGTTTTGCATTAGGTTCAAATAGCACTTAATGAAGCTAAGCTTAGTGAAGAGAAAGTGAAGTCTGAATGCCATCGGGTTCAAGAAGAAAATGCTAGGCTTAAGAAGAAAAAAGAGCAGGTAAAGAAAAGTACATGTCCTGGGTCATGTAAAATAGAGAACCCAGTATCATATCACATGAGTGCCTTTTTTCAGATCTATTTTTAAGGTAATGTACATGCAGGATTCTGTTCTTAGATTTGCAAAGTTTAAACTATACTTCTAAACTTGAGTATAGGCATACATTTTCTGTCTGTTCTGGATTTTCTGTTCTGTACAATTTATTTTGCCCGTCAGTGTTTAGTCTTGTTTTGTCAAACACCAATTACTATTAACTTGAGTAGCCTTAAGTGGGTAATAGATTGACTTTTTAGACCTAAGAATTAGATATTTTATCACCTTCCTTTTAGTAGTTACTGCTTCACTAGCCAAGGGAAGGTTACATGATCAGGAGTCTAGACTTGAGAGATAGTAGGATGAGCCCTTCAGTTCCTTCTGGAAGTGAATTATTTGAATTGGCTATAATTTTCTGAAGGATGCAATAAACGAGATCAATTTCCTTGTCAGCTCTGATGTTCTCACTATAGCTCTGAGGATTGGGGTCACTCTCCTCCCACTTAACCAAGGTCTTAGCCCATAGTGATAGGCTAAGGAGAGGCATGGCTCCTTACCTCCCTGCCTCATTCACTTGGTCTCGTCCCCAGTGCAAAAGCCCTAACCTGTGGGAATCATGTGTTTTAACTTTTCAGTTGCAGCAGGAAATTGAAGACTGGAGTAAATTACATGCCGAGCTCAGTGAGCAAATCAAATCATTTGAGAAGTCTCAGAAAGATTTGGAAGTAGCTCTTACTCACAAGGATGATAATATTAATGTAAGTACATTCTCACGAATACAAGCTTGGTTCTTGTGAATTATCATGAAATCTGTTGAACTAAAATGGAAAGACTCTTAATGCTCTTTTACTTCTTTTCTAGGCTTTGACAAATTGCATTACACAGTTGAATCGATTAGAGTGTGAATCTGAATCTGAGGGTCAAAAAAAAGGAGGAAATGACTCAGATGAATTAGCAAATGGAGAAGTGGCAGGTAAGATCAGTCTCAAGGAGGATGGACCCCTTTTCCCTTCCTATCTTTAAGTACACTAATGCTACTTTTCAGCTGGCTGCATTTCCTCTTTAGCTTTAGAGGTGTTAACACATATCACTGGATTTGTGTATACGTCTATTTGCATTGGGCAGAGGTGGATTGCTAGGGTATGGTGTAGCAATGAGCATGCAAGGACACTGACTTTGTTTTTACATCTCATTGAGACTAGAAGGGTGCACGGGAGCTGCACTGGTCATGTCTTACACCTCTAAGTATTGAACATATACAGTAGTAGAAACTGTATTTCTCAATTTCATGGAGATAACATTTTAAATCTCATCATCTCAGGAGCTGTTTGGTTTTAAGGCCCACCACTGGTTTTAAGAGTACTAAGGTGATTGGAGGCATAAACTAAGGCCATGAGAGAAAACCACAACTGGTTTTAAGAGTACTGAGGTGGTTGGATCCAGAAACTAAGGCCATGAGAGTGGAAGCTATAGGGTAGCAGTGTTTACTGATGAGGAAAGTTTCTAGATGTTGTCTCTCAAGTTGGATATTGCTTACGTAGTGAGTGTTTTAAACCACACCTGAGAGCAGATTCTAGAGGAGAATAGGAGGGAACCTTTCTGAATGAGACACTTACTAAGCCCAGGTGGAGGTAGGTCTGAGATAGAAGACAGAGCTTTATCTCACATGTTTCTTCTTGCTCAAGAATGGCATGTATAACATGTTTATTGTGCAAATGGGAATTCACTTTTTAAATCTAGGTTTGCAGTTCTCTTAAAAGTCAGTCTAATTCTGTTCTATTTTTGTTTGTTCTTTAAATGTTTGAACATAATAATTGTTTAGTTTTGCATAAATCAAGAAAATACAGATTTAAAACACAAGGGAAGAAAAAGCAATGAAAGTCTTTTGTTTTTTAGGTGACCAGAATGAGAAGATGAAAAATCAAATTAAGCAGATGATGGATGTCTCTCGGGTATAATCCTTTTTTAGAGTCCTGTAAGTACCTGTGAATGCTTTTACTATGTCTCACTTATATGAATACTTCTCTCTTCTGCAATTTTTAGACACAGACTGCAATATCGGTAGTTGAAGAGGATCTAAAACGTTTACAACTTAAGCTAAGAGCCTCCATGTCCACTAAATGTAACCTGGAAGGTAGGTTGCTTCTTGAGAAGAAATTGCTATGTATTGGAAAGATGCAAAATTGCATTAGATAGATAAAGAGTGGTTTCCTGCTTTCATACTTCTCACTCCTCTCAGCACCAAACCGCCAACCAAGTTCTCAAGTTCTTGTGCACACACATTGAGCTCAAATGTTTTACCCTTTACAGACCAGATAAAGAAATTGGAAGATGACCGCAACTCGCTACAATCTGCCAAAGATGGACTGGAAGATGAGTGCAGAACCCTGAGGCAGAAAGTGGAGATTCTGAATGAACTGTATCAGCAGAAGGAGATGGCTTTGCAAAAGTAAGATTTTCATTATTTACTGTTCACTGTCATGTGACTAAATAAAGGTGTACTAATACAGACAGTGTTACCTTTTTTAGGATTATTTATACTTTTTTCCATCTCTAATTAGTGCACATTTGTCTTTCTTCCTATCTGCTTTGTTTCTCATAACCTGCATTTTTCTTTCCTTTCTAACCAGTTGTCAGAAACTGTTGCCTGTAATTCATGTAAGAGGGAGCAGTTGACAGGTACTGACAGTTACTGCTGTGAAAGTGCTTCTCTTTTGAAGATCTGTCCATGCCTTTTCTGTGGCTCCACCGCTTATTTCACTTTCCTTTCTTTGTGGTCAATTATGTAATTTCCTTTAAAAAGTCTGAGTGATTTGTATGACATGTGTTTTAGTAGAATAAAAACTTTGAAAAAGGAAATTTTACTTATTAAAGGTACATTAAGTTTTGGACTTCACAGAGTCAAATTTCAGACTAAACGTAATTGTGGCAGAGATGAGGAGTTTTGAATATAGAACTACCTGGTGTGTATGTTTAGGCACTAATCTTCTGAAGTACACACCTCAAATTTTGAACTAGGTATCTTCTGAAAACTTATTTTTATAATTCATTTCAAGTTTTTTCTCCACAAAAACATCTGGATTCTCTAAAAATAGGTTGTCTGTGGCAGTTACTATTTGTTTGCTCCTATATTTTACTCTGTGGTGTATATGGCCGTGTGTGAGAAGACCTCGCTTGCTAAGCAAATTTAACCTTTTAAAATGCTCAGTCTGCTACTGCCGTAAGCCATTAAACATTAAAACGATATCATTAACTTTTTCTCTAATTCTTTGCTCACCCAGCAGCCGTTTAGATTTTCCAGATTTTGCTCAGGCCAGCTCTAAATGCCTGTCCTGCTTCAGAGAGACATTCCTCATTTCATTACTTTTTTAAAAAGAGCACTTCTCTGCCTCCAATAGTAATGTGAATTACTTAAATGGCAACTGTTTTTCTTCATGATCCAGTTAACCCATTTATGTGCCACAACATTCATTCAGTCTCCACGTGTGGTTTGTACTCTGCTGTCCACCCCTAAAGTCACTGTGTGTGTTCAGGC